GGTAAGACATTTGAAGTTAACGTCGTGTGGGAGAGCACATTCAGCTGTCGAAAGTGAACAGTAAGAAGGGTCACACATCGGTGGAGGAGGCGAACAGGGACCGTCGAAAACAGAGAAGTGCAGGTATTATGTCAAGGGAAGAGTTATAAAAGCAACTATTAGGACAAAAAGATGCAAACTCATTTCACGCAAAAACGTAAGCAAGATAAACAGGCTACAGATAGATCATTGATGTTCAGAAAGCGCAGAGATGGGGAGAGATGCGGGGGAGTCCTCGAGGACGCCAGCAGTAGGAGAGTTTGTGACCCATGATATTTCGAGTGGGCCAAGAGTAAGTGATGGAAGGAACAGTCCATTTTAGATAAAGCCCTCAAGCCCAAAACTAAAGAAGACTCTTTTCATAAAGTGCTCATAGGAAATGCTCACCAGAATTCACCACATATTGATGATACAGAAAACCTTCCTGAGCTCAGACAGGTAGAACTAATGCAGACACGTGATGAATTTGAGATTATGAACAAAGCAAGAAAGAAACAGAACCCAAATCTCCATCTTCAGCATTTCTTGGGTCGAAGAAGAAAGGCTATCTGGAAGTGCACAGAATCCATAAAACACATCTCAGAGCCTGTGGGAAGCAGAGCAGGGTTGAGAAGAAAAATTGCAGATTAAATATTTATATTATTGAGCAGGAAGGCGTGAAGAGAGATAGATTAAAGACCCCGCTCGAGAACTCAGGAAAGGGAAACAAAGTAAGCCCTAGTCAAGCAAAAAGTAGGAATTTGCAAAGATCAAAGCTGAAGTTAATAAGAAAGTGAAAAACAGTGGAAATAATAAATCCAAGTGCCCGTGCCTGAGATAAAGCCAGTTCAATGTATGAATCCCCCACAGTCCCAGTGAAAAATGAGTAGACGCACCCCCACACACACACGTGAGGGTTGAGGAGAAGCAGAGTTTCTGGCGGGGAGGGCGTGCGGGTCTTGCTCAGCAGCACCCTGCAGGTGCGGACACGCACGTGGTCCCGGGGCTGCGGCTCCTGCACTGGACCCTCGTGAGCCACGCCTCGACAGTAGGGAATAGAGCAAACACATAAGTAGATCTAAAAAGAATAGACATGAGTCGTACCACAGCTCAACTTAAATAACAATCTGAATGAAACAAATACTGCGACTCCAGAAGTGATAGAAACGTTAGAGGTTAAATACACAGGTGTTGCCCAGTGGCCGCCCTGCCCTCCCCCCGAGAGAAGCAGCAGAAACCAGTCGCATCGGGCTGAGGCAGTTTTGGGGGGGAATCTGTGAGGCCGTCCGAACACGGACCCCGTGCGTGCCGTGCGCGCTGACCGGAGCTCGGAGGGGGAGGCTGTGGGCGGTGAGCGCCGTGCGCGCAGGGGCTCGGGCTGCCCACGGGTCGGGCGCGGAGCCCGCAACCCAGCCGTGCCCCACGGTTTCCCCCGCACTGGGCTCCTGGATTGTTTGTGGGGCAAGTGCTCCGTATTTGCTGAAAGGCGTTGGACAAAAACCCAACGTTAGTCTTAATAAAACGTGAACATATGGATAATTTCTCAGCATAATAGAGTGTGTCTACTTCAACCCCAAACTGACATGCTGTAAATAGGACGCTACGAACTTCCGCTCCAGGGACACCACAGACCGCTCGGGACGTCCGGGGCTCCTGGTGTGGGCGGCAGCCCCGGGCCCCGGGGGAGCGGGCCTTCGCTCTCGCAGCGGACGTGACTGCGCCGAGCCTGCTGGCTGAGAGCCGCTGCAGCAGCCCGAGCGGCGGGCACAGGTCGGGGCAGGAGTGCTGAGGCCTGCATGCACAGATACCGACGAGACGAGAAAGTGCAGCCACGTGCAAGAGCAGCAGAGCGGGGTACACAGAAGCCCCCGCCGGCCACCCCCGGCACGTGCGCGAGCGCGAGGCTGAGGCACCCCCGTGAGCCGGACAGGCGGCCGCGTGCTCACACGCTGACTCCCCGGTCCGAGCATTTAACCCAATCCCAGTGTTTTCTGAAAAGGTTTCGGTTTTTGTTTTGTTGAGGTGCTTGAGGGCAGGGATGGGGTGGGAGAGAGGAAGGACCCTGGAACTGTCGCGGACAGGATGGCGGATGGAGGAGGAAGTCAGAAGCAGACGCAGAACTTGGTGACGGATGGCAAGGGGATGTCGCGCCTCGGGATCCTCGTATGGGGACGTCGGGGGCCGGCAGGGGGACCAGCGCATGCAAGAGCGGCCTCGCCACGGCGTTGACTTCATGCTCTCGGGTGGGAAGCGGCGCAAACCTTCGTCCCTGGAGACAGGTCAGCGAGAGGTGGGAGTTCACGGGGCCACAGACATGACCCAGGAGGCTGTCTCCGCACTGGTTTGGAAATCTCTCCAGAATAGAATAAGTGAGAAAACCAGAGTACCAAACAAGGTGAGGCTGTCTTACCATTTTTCTAACAGTAAGTGAAGAGCTAAGTTAGGGAACGAGCCGATTCCTATTTGTGGGCGGAAGCACAGACCGTCCTGGAGCCGCACGGCCGGACGGCTCCAGGTGGCTGCAGCTAGCGCCAGGGTGACCAGGGTGCTTTTGCCAAGGCCTCTGGGGTGTGTACGCATTGTGTCCCACATCTGACCCTCGGGTCCTGAGGCTGCACAGCGTTCACAGCACGTGGGGGGAGGGGAGCAGGCCTGGGCCGGGACTGTGACGTCCCTGCGGAACATCCTGTCTTGCGGCTCCACAGACCAGCTTTGCTGCACGAGCACTCGGAGCTGTGAGGTGTGCAGCCTGCTCTGCTCAGGACATGGAGAGGGATCAGCCCAGACTGCGCTCAGGCTGGTTCTGTGTCCTTCCAGGAGAGTCGGCCTGGTCCAGCGAGGTCCGTGTGTCCACTGGCCTGTTTGGCTGTGCCCGTGAAGAGGACACAGGGACCACCAGCTCCTGCGTAAGCATCTGGGCGGTGTCAGAAAGGAGTGGGGAGCCTGGCCAGTTCAGGGAGGTGTATGTGTGGGAGGAGCAGGAAGGGCCCCGGACATGGTGGACGCCGCTTCTCCGCGAGTATGAGCAGGCTTTGCTCCACGTGGCGCCGTGGCAGGGTCGCTTCGTGCCTGCCCTGTGCAAGGGGACTGTGGCCAGTGGGCACTGGCGGGCATGTGCCGGGACTCTGACTCCCTCCTTTCCTCTGGGGACTTCGCAGAGGCCACTCCCACTCGAGCTTGCTCTCCACGACCAGCAGGATTGGGGTCACCCACGTATGTGACCTCGATGATTAGTATCAGGGTTTCATACAGACTGGATGCCTCGGGCCCAAGAATTCCTAAACGAGCTGCCCCAGGGGGACGTTTCCAGGAACAGCCTAGAGAGGATGTTTTCGAGAAGGCTGCTCCTTCAGGCCCAGGAAGGCAGATACGTGGAGACACACTCTGCTCCCTCAGCCCCGGGCCGCGCTGATCTGTCAGCACCCTTCCCACAGACGCTCTTGGTGCCCAGCTCAGGACAGCGGCATCGTCCACGTGCTGGTGCAGGACTGGGAGCTCTCGGCCGCCCCGGTGAAGGGGCAGGGGTTTCAGCCGTGCAGCCCAGAGGGTAGTGAGGCGGGTCCGCAGACGCGGACTGGACACGTCATTCCCAGCCTGTACCTTTGGGTGGGTGTGGCGGGAGGTCTCTTCCTGAAATCACCTGTCCCCTGGTGTGCGCCGTCGGGTGGGGAGGTCGAGTGGCCTCCCTTTGGGGCATCAGGACAGGCGGCTGCGGGGAGGGGCCGCTGCGGGAGCTATGTGCAGGCCACCCCCCGATGAGGTAGGGAGACCCGTGTCTGCCCTGCGCCCCCACCCCGTCAGCTCCCCCTGCAGCACTCAGCAGGCTGTCATGGCCGTTGTCCCGTTCAGGGGCTTCTGTGGGGCTCTGGAGCTTGAGACACCGGTCAGCTCATACCCGTGCTTCTTTCTGCAGCCGACTAAGGTCATTTCTAACGAGCACTGACTTGTCAGAGCCCCTCGGGGACGTCCGCCCCGCAGACCGGGTCTTGTGTGATGAGGAGTGGCGAAGGCTGACAGGTCCGCGTTCTTGGTGGTGAGCCCGCCACCCACGGGGCTGCACCGGCGGGAAAGCCTTGTGAAAGACGAAGGCCCCCCTGCCACCTCTGCCGGCCTTCCTGTTCTCTCACATGACACAGGCTGAACGCTGTGAACTCGGGGGCACTCAGAGCCCCCCACCATCTGAGATTCCCACAGGAGCCTCGAAACCCATGTCTGCGCCAGAGCAGACCATCCCGGGTGCACGTGAGGGGCCCACCGCCCCCCTGCTTTCCTGTCTTGTTGCTCGGTCGGTCACCGAGCATCCGTTCTGGCTCAAGAACCGGGCGGACAGTGGTCAGAAAGACTGACCCCGGTCAGACTGACGGGTGCAGAGCCACATGTGCGAGACAGGGCCCCGAGGAACAGCCCTGGCGTCCTGAGCAAGGAGCTGCGGTCGGGGAGGAGGCGTGCTCTCAGGGAGCAGGAGTTCTGGGGGCTGTACGCAGACTGTAGGCTCGCTCCCGTGCAGGCCCCGCCGCTGGCCCTGTTCCTGCACCTGGACCACAGGCAGGAATCCCCTCCCTGCTCCTTCTCCGGCTTTTGTGCATCTCCAGTCCCCATTCCCTTCCAGGCAGTCTGCGTCACCTGTCATTCTGCAAGGGAATTCAAAGCAGCAAATAAATAAGATACCATGACTATTAAAGCAGATCAAAGCATTGGTAAACTTGGACTGTGTTCTTTCCAGCTGCTGGGACCCCCTTTCCCCAGATTTTGATGTTTCCCGTCAGCATGCCCCAGAGTCCGTGTGTGTCTGGAGGGCTGTGAGGTCCGGCCGCCCCGGGTCCCCGGGGCACAGGGTAGGCCAGGAGACGGCGGCTCTGCCCCCAGTGTCACCCCCTCCCCCTGGGAGCCGGGTGCAGGATCTCCGGGCTCGGGGCCCGTGGGGGCGGGTGGGGCGGGGCGGCCACAGCACCTCCCGCTGACCTGCTTGTGCTTTCTCGCAGCTGGAGATGGAGGTGAAGATGCTACAGTCTCAGTCCAGCACCGCCGAGCAGAGCTTCCCACTGTCCAGGGAGGAGGCAAGCTCGCTCAGGTACATCAGCACCTGCGGCCTCCGGGCCTGCCTTTCCGAATCACGCTCCGTCCACTCGGAGCCCTCTGCGTGGACACTAGGCTCTGCGCCCCCAGCACTGAGGGGTGTGCCGGGTTCAGCCTTCTGTGCGGGGGCAGCAGGGGCTTGTCCGGAGCCGGGCACAAACGGCCCTATTTCAGAAGAGCTGCTCACAGGGCGCTTCCCGAATGTCAGCCAGGCCGCCTTCAGTCCGTGTGTCCGGCCTGCCCAGAACACGCCTGTTTCCCCAGAGGCTTTCCCGATCCTCCTGACCCTGTCCTGACGCAGCATGCCGCCCACCTCCTGGGCCGGGAGAGCTAGCAGGTCCTGAAGGAGGAGGTTTTCAGGGACACCTCGGTGGAGCTCTGAGGGCCTACTCCCAGCTCCCCTTGGCTCCCCCAGTTGGCCCTGTTGTTTCAGTTTGTTACTGGAAAGTGGCCGATGGGCAAATAGATGGCGTCTCCCCAGAATCTCTGGGTGCAAAGTGAGTGCAGGCCAAGCAGCCTGGGTTCTGGGGTGCCCTGAGCGCCTGCTGCCGGCCAGGCACAGGGCGCCCGCTTTCCCATCCTCAGGAGCTTCGGCGGGTTGGGGAGGCGGGGTGGGTGAGCACCCTGCTGCTTGGTGACACGGCTAGGGGTTGGGGCGTGAGCTCGTCAGGCCCTGTGTCCCCCTCTGGGGCTGTTTGCTCGTCTGCGCTGGGCGGGCAGCCCTCCTTTGCGGGTTGTGAGAACCGGGAGCGATACGATGCGTCGGCCATGGACTTCCCCACGGGAGGTGTGTGGGTGTAGGCAGTGGCCCCCTCTGGGTGCCAGGTTTCTCCCGTCGTTTCCGGAGCCTCTCTTGTGTCAGGACCTTGGCCTCGGGACCCCCCCGGTTCCGCAGTCGCCCGTTTGTTATCCTCTGACTTGTTCAGATGCGAGTGTGTGCTGTGGGCGTCCCCCGGGCTGAGCATGAGGACGAAGCAGGGTGAGCAGGGGCACATCTTGTCTGTCCTCCTGAATGTTACAGCGTAACGGGGTTAGGGGGACGTCGTTCGCATAAAATCACGTCAGCAGCGTGGGGCTGCCAAAGCACAGCAGAGGTGCTGCGAGAACCGGTGTCCGTGGGGGGCTCTGGCGGTGGGCCAGGCGGGGATGGGGACCCAGGGGTCAGCGGGGAGGCGGCAGCATGTGAGGGATGCGGGCGTGCCGTCCTGGCCCTGGCCTGCTGTTGGCTGCGCTCATTTGCATGGGCTGTCACGCTTTGGGTGGATTCCTTTCTATTTATCTTTGAGATTTAAATAAAAGCCTTTATCAGTGATATCTCGTACATCAAGATCAAAGCTTCCCGCCCCCACCGTTTCGTTTGGTGAAAGCAACTGTGGGAGACGAGCCTTTGTGGCTAATTAATCAAAACTGGGTCGACAGTTGTGTGGACCACTTGCCGGGGCACGTGCACATTGCCCTCCGAGTTTCTGGCCGCTCCAGGGAGGGCTGGAACCACGCGTGACAGCGCATTGTGCGCTTCCCCCTCAGCCCTGTGGCGAGGGTCCCTGCTGGGCAGGCTTCAGGGTCCGCCGAGCACAGCCACGGGGAGCCCCCTACCCCGGCCCTTTCCCGGGACCAGTGGCTAGGAAACAAGGTCTGTGAGGCCCTGCCAGCCCCTCAGCTGCTATGGCGCGGGTGGACCCCCCAGTTTACCCCCCAGTTCACCCTGCCGTTCACCCCCCAGTTCACCCCAGGTTCACTGCCCCATTCACCCCACGGTTCACCC